TCTTGGACTTCACCACCACCCGGAGCTGAAGGCACAGGCTGGAGGTCTGGAGCAGCAGCAGTCATTCCCTGGCCTGAAAAACAGTCTCCTTTTGACAGACATCCAACTTAAAAAAAAAAAAGAAAAGGGTGTGTACTAGATGTCTGCTTTTTATAGTTTAAAACAGGCATGTTTTTTTTTTTCCTATTTGAGGAGTATGTCGTTTTAATTAAGTGTCACATTGTAAAGCCAGGTAGAAGATGAGTCAGTCACTTGCAGCTGAGTATCCATTTAACATCACCATAAAGCTCAGACAGACATCTAACTCACTGCACACATTAGAGGCTGCCGTGTTAAAGCAAGCAAAAAAGTTTCAGTTAAACAAACAAACAAACAAACCAACCAACCAACCAACAACCTAACCCTACAGTGAGGATTACTTGTTGACCAAGTGAAAAGACAAACATCTCCACTTTGAATGTTTTGAGATGCCGGCGGCACCCAACATAATTCATTAGTGAAAACAAGCGCAATGACGGCCTCCAATGAAAGTGGAAGTGATTTAAATAGACTACTGCTTTTGAAATACATGCTTCTCATTATTCTAGCCACACTGCAAAAAAAGGCATTCGTACTTTTTCAGGAAAGAGAACTCAATTCTCCAGGGCAAAAGTAAAGCAGTCAGATTTCTTACACCTTCTGTTTAGTTTCTTGCATTTTTAGAGGAATACGTTTATTTTGTTTTCCTGTATAAAAGTTACGTCTTGTTGAGTCACGGGTTTAAGATTTAAGCTTTCCATCGGTAAAACACAACAAAAGGCCATCACCTTGGGTGCCGCTGGCTCTGCGCTGCTGATGGCTCTGTGGCCAGGAGCAAGTCCCTTCCTTGGCCATCTCCGAGGGCAGGACGTTAAGAAAAGAGGGGCCCCTTTTTCTTGTTGGTCATTGCTAAAGATGAGGCACAAATAATTAATATGACTCTTAGATGGGTGTTTTTCTCTAATGGTGTACAACTAACCTTTTCCTGTCCATCTTGACATTAAAGATGCTCAAAGATCAATGCATGGAGTAGAGTGTTCACAAACCTTCCAAGAAGTTTAACATTAAGCGGAACAGTTTCAAACGAGGGGAAAATTTCCTGTGGTGTAACTCATCTGCTCTCCTTTTCTTCTTACGAATGTTTTGAGACCACTTTTTCCTTGCCTTTTGAAACGTACGTATGGTTAGTTGGACCAAAGTGTGGCTTTGAAGCCTGAGAAAAATCTTTTAAAAGGCAGCTGGTGTTTTAAGTTGAATTTTTAATGATGAGGTAGTTTGTAGAAGTAGTGCTGCTATGTAACTTTGGAAAGAGAAAGGGGAGGAGGAGGGTAGGAAGGGGAGGAGGGCCAGTGAAAGACACCCATGCATAAGTTATGTTCGTTCTCTTTCTTTATTAATGCTGTCAAATTCCCAGGAATAGTTGTTAGCATTTCTAGCCAAGCAAAATTAATATGAAGATTTGATTTTTTTTTTTTTTTCAACTTTCTGCCAATTTGAAGCTCTGAGCATATATATATATTGGCAAATCGACTTCGTATCCTACAGGAAAAGAAGCCAGTGAGTTCTTAGAAAGCAATTCATTTTCATCTTGCAAAGCTTTTGCTTTCTTGACCAAAGTGGAGGTCGCAGGCATTGTGGTAGCGTCTGGTGTTGAAGTGGTGGGAGAATGGTCTCACCACAAACGTCTAGAGATGTTCAGCAGTGACCAGGCACTGTTCTTAAACGCAGTAATTAAAACAATTTAAGAATTAAGACTTGTATCCAAACAGTCCTGCCAGGGAAGGCCTGGTGGAAGTGAGGAATGCGTATGTGATGGCATGGGGAACGCGTTCACGCAGGTTCCTGCAGCCCTCCCAGCTACACAGACAAGCAAAGAGCTGCTCTAATTGTGTCATCTCAGAGAGATCGATGGACCTTTACTCTATTCCGTATATTAATTACGGAGCTAATGGCCTGATGGTTGCCTTGAGGCTTCAGGCAAAGCCCCGAGCAGCCCAGGCACCAGCCTCAGTAGCGCTGCACCTCGCCGACGCTGGCGTGCTGCTCCCCACCTGTTTTGGGGGGGAACGATGGTATTTCGGTGGCTTTCTGGAGCCAGGAGGAAATTGCAGTCCGTGTCTGGCAGCGTCAGGCTGGAGCGGTCGGAGGCAGAGCCGGGAGCCCAGCTGCTGGGGGCTGCTTGCTCGCAGAGCAGCGAGGAGACAAAGTCTTTCTGTTTTATGATGATATTACAGTCCAAATCATTTCCAGACTCCCGAGGATGTGAAACAAGATGATGTGAAAAACATAAGGTTACTGTAGTTTTGAGTGCTTTCTACGCTCTTTTGGATAAATGGAGCAGAAAAGTCTACCAACTTCTCTTTGAGATTTCAGAGGCATTATTATATCCTGTAGTTATTATATTGTCGTAGCTCTAACAATCCACAGTAAAACTGAGCCATATTCTGCAGAATGTTGTACATGTGCAGAATAACGGATTATCCGTGGTGTTGAGAGCTTGGTTTGAGGGCCACATTGCAGGTATTCATGCGAAAAAAAAGTTTACGCACGGCTTCTCATACTTTTTTTTTTTTTTTAGCAAAGAGATTTTTAAATACTGAAATAACATAAAGTAGGCATCAGTTTTATAAAGCAAATTGATGCTATTTCACGCACACAAAAGGATCAAAAGCATCAATTCAGTAAGTAAATGGAAAGAGACAAATAAAATTTTACTTACTTTCTAGCAAACTGGATCTAAAGCTGATTCTTCATGTTTGTTTTGCCCCTGCTGCAAGCCATCAACTTGTATTCGTGTGTGACTGGAGTATTTTAATTGTCCGCCTCCGTGTCCTTCTTCTTCTCTGCCACTTGGTAATCAGTAATTATGTGGCCTTCAGTGGTTAACAATTAATCAGAAAATGAATTGGGGCTGGGGGAGATGGCGGGGCCATTTGATCATGCACCAGGCGAGTGAGGGTTTTGCTTCTGAGAGCGACCCCGGCCCAGCTCCCGCCCGCACATCATTTATCCTGTCCAGGGGCAGCGCCGGGGCTGGTGTCTGATTACACCGACGTCCCGTCGAGTTCGGCTCCACGAGCTGGTGTGGATCAAGCCCGTGAAGGCGTTCGGTCTTTTCGCAAAGGTGCCTCGTGGCAAAAGCAGACCTGGTGGCTTTTACGCCATTACTGGTACATCTCACGCTTCCTTTTCTTCAGCTTTCTGCTAGGAGGGAACTAACAAAATATTTTTGCGCACTTGCAGCGAGCGGCCTAGGGAATTTGTGTTGGTTTGCTCTTTCCCCATACCCGGATGGCAGAATTGCTCTGCTTTTCTCTTTCTTCCGTTGTCTCAGGTTCTCATGTAGTTTGATATTTCGACAATTTTCTCTCCTTTCTCCCGCTTCGTGACACACCCAACTTCTCACCAGAAGACTACGCTGTTGAGTTTCAGCAGCACACTGTTGAGAAACTTCTTGTTCTGGGGTCTGGCTGTATTTCCAGCTGGGGGGGGGGGGGGGGGGGGGGGGTGGAAATAAAAAAGCTGCAGTAATCAGAAAACCCTAGGATGGCTCATCAGTGGCGCTTAAAATTCTGGATGTGAAAAGATTGCTGGCAGGGCTTGCTGTTTTGGCAGTCACCCTATGTTGTCTCCTTATCCGTCTTCCTATCACTTCTCTCAGGCGCATTGCTAATGGGCTCAGGGACCCTGAAAATGGTTTCAGGCATCCTGAAACCAGTTTCTGCAGTTTTTGAGAGACATCCACCACACCACGGTCTTGGGAAGCACCAGGAGAACATCACCACCACCCCTTCACCTCACCTTGCCTCGCCGAAAGCATACGGGTTGGGAAACGGGGCTGGATATTTGCAGATCCAGTGTTCACATTTTCATTGCTCTCATACACACGTTGCACTTCCAGAGGAAAAGAAGAAAGAAGTAGCAAGGGAAGAAGCATGTTTTTGTCTGCAGGTGCTTTCTGCTGGCTTGCTTTGCTCCTCAGTATCCTGCAAGCACGGGCTGCCATTGAAAATCAAATGAATTCTCAATTGCTTCCTTCCAATTCAATAAGTGGAGGAAAGCAGAAATCTACCACCATCGCTGGAAGGAAACAGGGCAAAGGCATGGGCTCAGGCAGAAAGCTTCTTCCTTTCCTCAGGGATGATCCTGGGGAGATGGGAGTGCACCCTTGGGGGACTTGGAGAAGAACCTCACCTCCATCCACCCTGGAAGCACGAGAATGCATTATCTACCATGGTCTTGGGTGGGTTTTTTTATTGCTCTCTGACATTTCTCACTAATGCATGGCATTCCCCTCCCACCAATCTTCTGTGAATTTTTTACAGGTGTAAGCAATCTTGTGTCGTCATTGCATTTCCCTCTTACCAATCTTTTGTGAATTTTTTACAGGTGTAAACAACCTTGTGTCATCATTGCATTCCCCTCCCACCAATCTTCAGTGAATTTTTTACAGGTGTAAGGAAACCTTGTGTCGTCATTGCATTTCCCTCTTACCAATCTTCTGTGAATTTTTTACAGGTGTAAGCAACCTTGTGTCGTCATTGCATTTCTCTCTTACCAATCTTTTGTGAATTTTTTACAGGTGTAAACAACCTTGTGTCATCATTACATTCCCCTCCCACCAATCTTCTGTGAATTTTTTACAGGTGTAAGGAAACCTTGTGTCGTCATTGAATTGCCCTCCCACCGATCTTCTGTGAATTTTTTACAGGTGTAAACAACCTTGTGTCATCATTGTTTTTCTAGAGGTGATGAGGGTGCGTTGTTGTTACAGCCATTAGGAATCGTTTTACCTTTATCAGACAAAAGATAAAACAGTCTTTTTGTCTTTAAAAGACAAAAGAGCAGGCAAAAAGATAGAGTCTGGCCCCGGATGGAATGTTTTGGGCTGTATTTATTTTTTTTGCTAACTCGGGGAGTAGGAACGTCCCTTTTTTGTCGTTTTTTCTCACTGTAATTTTGCGATTCTCCCTCTCTCGCAGCTGGACGGAGCCCTCGGCCGCTTGCGAGGTGCGCGAAGGCGCGGAGGAGCTGACGGAGCCGCTGGAGCAGTGCACGGCCTGGCTGCGCGCCTACTTCTGCGAGCCGGCGAGGACGGCGAGCCTCCCCGTGCCGGCCTTCCACCACCCGCTGCTGCGGCGAGGTCTGTGCCGCGGGGGCACCCCCTTCCCTGCCCCTGCTCCCATCACCCGGGGCGGGTGCTGCCTCCCGGCTCCCCAGCCTCGCGGTCAGTGGCGGGCGAAAGGAATGCGGTTCAGCTCCCGATGGGCGTTTGGCCGGAAGGGTTTGAGGGTGAACGCAACCGAAGGGCGGCGGGATCTTCAGTAGGGTCCTTTGTCCGCTTAAATTGGCTTTTCAGTAGGGTCGTTGTGCGCTTAATTTGGTTTTTTTGCCGGCCAGGGAGGGAGCGAGGCTCAGGCACGTCCATGTCTGTTGGCAAAGACACCTCCCCGCTGCCGTAGAAGCCGTCGGTGATTGTCAGGTTGCGTAAGGTAGCTATAGTTTGATTCCTCAAAGCCATCGTATTTGGGGTTTTTTTAAGCAAAGAACGAGTATTGTTACAAGGTATTACGCTGCTCGTGTTTTTAGATAAAAACAAGACCTGAGGAAAGTTTCTGCTTACTGTTCTCCGCTTACTGGCTGTGTTCCTGAAGACCTTGTAACAGAAGTCGATCACTTGAAATGAAATAGATCTCATTATTTAAAAAAAAAAAAAAAAAAAAATAATTCTCAGGAGCCTGCTTTTTGCAGTGCCTTCTGGTCTGTCCATAAATATGTTAATTTCCCAGGGAATAAAATCTCTGGTTTAATAGATCTATTTTTTAATTGTATTTGATTCCATAATAACATGTCACCAAAAAGGGAACACTATCCTCTACCCTACGTGAGGTAAGATAGCACTGGATTTTGTATACACTCTAAATGATATGTACTTTTTCTTTTTTTGTGGTTCAAAGTGAAAGACACCTTTTAAATATGGGTACATAGGTTTGTATTTTAAGGTTCAGGGGCTATACATCAGTACCTGTGTAAAACAATGGCCAGTTTTACCTGTGGAAAGGAGGGGCTGTTTTGGCAGACACACCTTTGCCAACAACATCTACAAGAACTCAGCTGTCTGCTGTTAATTGCTGGTTTTACTTTAATTCCTATAAAGAGTTGGTTTCTTCTTGCTGTTACACTTTCTTATTCTTAATTACCTAGTGGCAGCTGCAAGTAAAACAACGAAACCAAAATGCAGTTGTTGTGCCGAGCGTCCTGCAGATAATCAGGCTGCTGCTTTCAGAAAGTGGGAGCCTGACATTTTATGAGCTTTGCACCATACCTTTGTTTTAACGATGAACTTCTGTACTTATTCTTCCACGTTATGAAAACTTCTCGGTGCAACATCTTGCATATCAAATTACAGGGTGGGTCCTAAGTGTTTTTTAAACTGTGTATTGCACTTTCTCCCTCTATTTTTTTTATACAAACATCATTTTTCTCAACTACTAAAACATTTCATTCAGAAGTTTTCGTGAAACCATCCAATTAACATGGGAGAGAGTAAGCACTAATGACACCATGAGGTCAGAGTTGCCAAAATGCTCACGAAGTATGGCCGTCTAGGTGATCATATTATCATTTGAGGAGGTTTTTTTATTAGCTGGGATGAAATGAAGACCCGTATTGTGAAAACTTCACGGTTGGGGCGAATGTGAATGGGCAGTGCTAGATGGGAAATAATTACTGCTGCTCTTCCTTCCATCTTTGAATAACATCAGTGGAATTCTGCTTCCCAGACATCCACCAGAAGGTTATAAGACATTTAAAGTAGTGCTTTTACTTGTATTAATTTTCCTAAATTGGCTACTGAATTCTTTTTAGCTTGGCTAATGAAATTTCTTGGTCTGAGGGCTGCTGGTGTTGTTCCAGCTTGCTGGTTTGGGGTTTAGCCCTGAGCAGGCTTGCCCCTTGACTTACGGTCGGAGGTGGTGGGGGACGTTACCTTCCCCAGGCAGCAACCTTCCTGTGCAGGCAACACTGGAAGAGTCCGGAGATCATTTAAAAGAGGGAAAATATTTGTTAATAGGAAGCTTCTTGAGGGAAAGCAATCGTCTCCCTTGAATTTTTTTTTTTTGAGAGCTGCCTGCGGGGTGGGAATGGGAGGTGGCCAGTGGCCATGAGCATCAATTCTGGGTCTCTCTGCACTACCCGTGGCTTTGCGGAGGGTGCGGCCGGTGGTCCCATGGCCGGGGTGGCCATGCGCTGGGCAGCAGTGGCCCTAACTGGGTCTGAGCTCCTGTACCACAGGTTCAGTGCTGGGGGGACACTGGAGAGCAGTTTTCTCCTTTTTAACGTGTGCAGGTTCAAGGTTTTTTAATTTAGTTGGGTTATTTGTTCTTGGACTGAGAGCAGGTGTGCGTGTTTTATGAGGGGAGAGGCAGGTATGTAGTGGAAATGCTAAGGAAGAATTTATCGGTAGAAATCACAGTGATGTGGTAGCATTTCTATTCTTCTCTTACTTTCTCCTAGTAATACTTTCATAAAATAGAAAAAAAATTATATTGAAGGAATATGGGAATACATGCCAAAAAATTTGAAGACATTTTTAAAAAGTTATTTAGTGGAAAGATAAGGTAAAAAATGCATTATAATAGATTACATTGTAGTTTTCAATTTATCTGCAAGTCAGAAATGCAGTAATGCTAAATTAGGAGTTTGGTATTTATTTACTTTTTCACATTTACATTTGAAAGTGCCTACTCATTTCTCCAGGCACTTAAAAATGCAGAACAAACATAAGCGAGAGCACGAGGATCCAAAGCCGGGAAGGCTTTTTCTCATCACGCTGATTTCCTTACATGCCTCTCTTCATCAGCAGCTCTTCCAACAAATCATCAAAACCTTTGGCCCTCCTTTTCCCCCCTTCCCTGTAAATATGACCCCTTGTAGTGTGGTTCTTTGATAGCACACGATTGGAGTTCCATCATCAAGTGCTTTTGTGGTCAGGACTGATTATTGAATGTTTTCTTTCTTAATTAGTGCTTTTATAATTTTTTTTTTTTTCTGTGCTAGCATCATCTGAGGACAGGAAGGGTTTTCCTTATATCACTTTAAAGAGGTTCCTCACTTAACAAAAAAGCGTGAAGTGCTTTTGGGATGAAGCACTTCTCAACTCACGGTCAATTTTCTGCAGCTCTTTTTGTGCCGACTGTTAAGACGCGGTCCCTCGTGGAGAGGAAAACAGTGACAACCAACCTTGTGGCAACCAAAGCGGTGAGATTTTCAAATCCAGGCAGTGGAGGTATCTCACAGGTTACAGAAGGCCACCTTTGCCAAGCTCGGCGTTACCTGTAGCTGCGCCGGGTGTTGGGGCTGGCGGGAGAGGCACAGCCTGACCACCTCCCGGCCGCGGCCGGCTGATCGAAGACACCCAGTTGGTGAGCACCTGAAAAAAAAAAAAAAAAAAACATTGAGCCGTATGCTTTGCGTTTCTGGGCTCACGGGGAAGCGAGGCGCCGGTCCCCCCTTCGAACATGGAGCACCTTCCTGCTGACAGTGAAAATACGATAATAACCGTTCCGCCACGCTGTCGTAATTTGGTCGCCAAGTACACGCGCATTACCAAGCCACAGTTGAGCTGAATTGTGACATTGACTGTTTCAGCGCCTCATCTTGCGCCTTAAATTTTTCTAAAGTGCCTTTAATTTTCTAAAGTACTATTGTAAGGGCGGGGAACGTGTTTAAAAGCACCCTAAATACATAGTTAACCAATCCTCCTCATAACTCACCGCTGGCAAAGTTTGAATCTGAAGCACGGATGCTGTAGCCCAGCTTGAGGCAGGCAGAAGTTTGAAGCTGCTTTCCCAACGCTTCCAGGAGCTGTTGGCTTACTGGCTGTCTAGTTTAGCCTATGCATCTGATTTATTGTTTTGGTTTTTAAATGCAATTGAAAAACTGGAATTTTCAACAGTTTGCATCAGGGCCTGTGCTCAAAGTGGAATTTCACTGAGCAAAGGAAAAATCAGTTTTTCCTACTTCTCTGCAGCGTGACTTCAAGGTGTTACACCTCAAAAAAATCACTGAACCTTTATAATGAGAAGTGATTAATTGGTCTTAATGTATCATGGTCATTAGCCCCCCTTTATATATGAAGAAGAAAAATTGACCCTGTTACTGTTTTGAAGCCTATGCACGAGTTGCTTGATTTGTGGGCCCGCAGAATGGAAAAGGCGATGTTAAATTGGCCAGTCGTGAATTCCCTGACTTTTTCTTTATTCGTGCTTTAGAACCGTAGTGGCTGCAGTTGCAGAAAGCACCGCAGGTCTGGACGCTGCGGCGAGGCACGGTTGTGTGTTCGCAGACCAGATGGCTCATTAGAGGGACAAGAGCAGAGGAAATTGGAGACACACTAAGACTTTTCCTTTGGCCTGCGACGAGCAGCAGCCCCGGAGCTCTGCTCTTTGCGTGCCGTGCCATGCTGTGCCGCCGTCCTCACCGGATTAAGTCCTTTAGCTTTCCAAAACCACGCTTTTATATCCTTGGCTCCGGAGTTCCTCAGTCGGCTCCCCGTGCAGGAAGCGTGGGCCTGAAGCGAAGCTTTGCCTTTCAGCCCCATCCAGCTCCATCACCCCGTTTCTTCACCCAAACTGAAATACCGCGTCAGGGCAGGTCTCTGCAGGTCTGCAGGCGGCGTTGTCTGTGTCACCCCTCCAAACCAAAGGCGGAGAAAAGCTGTGCAAAAAGATCGAGGAGGAGCAACCTGAGGTTGGAGGCGGAGAAAAGCTGTGCAAAAAGATCGAGGAGGAACAACCTGAGGTTGGAGACTGAGAGGTGAGCTGTGCGAGCCAGATTAGTAGCTGAAATTTCCCATGCGTAATGTAGGTTATTCATCCAAGAAGGGATATTGATGAAACACCTCATACGTAATGGGAGCAAAGAGTCTTCGAAGAAACTGGTAGTACCTCCATTCTCCCTTCAGGATGACTTTGCTCCAGACCCGGGCCTGCAATCCATAATTTCGCCGTGATTTCCTGGGAGCCTTCTGGCTCGGAAGCTCGAGCCAAGGCAGCGTCGGCGGGTGAACCTGGCGGAGTCCCTGCCAAGGGCCAGCGGAGCGCGCTGTAAAACCCCGGCTGCGGGCTGAAGAAACTGTTCACT